TTTTTTTTTTTTTTTTTTTTTTTTTTTTTTTTTTTTTTTTACTTTCTGTTCTCATAGGACGAATTGTGTGAATATTTTAGTAACAACTACTCAGCTTATCCCAGCATTGGCGAAAGTCCTGCTATATGGATTAGGAATTGTATTTCCAATAGAAAATATTTACAGTGCAACAAAAATAGGTGAGCTGCTTTTGTTTTGTTTTACAATCAACTCTTCTCCTTCAGGCTAGCAAAAATGAAAGGCAATATTTGAGACTTTTTCATAGTACTAGATGTCAAAAAATCAGAAGAATTTAATTTTATTATGTCAGAACTGGCGTTAGACATCAAGTGAAATAAAAGCCATAACTCATGCAGCTTCATTCAAGACATTTTACTTTACTGACTAACATTAAGACCTATGCCTTTTACACCTGGGTGGCTCAGTGTTAGGCATCCGACTTTGGCTCAGGCCGTGATCTTGTGGTTCATGAGTTCGAGTCCTGCATCAGGCTCTGTGCTGACTGCTCAGAGCCTGGAGCTTGCTTTGCATTCTGTGTCTCTGTCTCTTTCTGCCCCTCCCCCACTCATGCTCTCTCTTTTTCTGTCTCTCTCAAAAATAAGCATTTAAAAAGACCTACACCTTTTATCTATAGTCAATTTAGCATCAATTCTAGATTATTGTCTTATTTTTCTTTTTAACTGACATCAACAAAAATATCTAATATGCTAAAACAAATAGTAGTATAGAGATGCACAAAGTAGAAGTGAAACAACTCTAATAATAGCTTTCTTTAAACTGTTATCACTAGAACTATTTTTTTTGCTTTATTTTAATTCAACATGTATAAACAGTTGGGTTCCCATTTTTGTCATGGGGATACTGAAAAAAAAAATTAAGTTCTTGAAAGAAGGAATCATAATTGGGAAAGAAGAGTAATGTGACATTTCATGAGAATAGAAACCAAAGCAGAATAAAAGTGAGATAAAAAGAAGACATGACTTCTGTTCTTACAGAATTCACCATCTAGCAGGGGAAGCAGACATCTAAATAACTGTAATAGGACAAAGCGGTATGTAAATGAGCCTTTATCACATATTTAGTAGATGCCCAGAGCTGTTCTAAGCATTTTCCATATTAAAATCAAACTTTGCAACCTTTCCATTTTACAAATGAGGAAACTAAATCTCAGAGACTTAATTGTCCAAGTTGATAGCCAGTAAAGACAAGAGTCAAACTAGTCTGATTCCAGGGTCCAGACTCCTTTCCATACCCTACGGAGTTCAACCACTAAATGCCTGAATTTCCACTTGAATGAAGAAACATTTACTCCCACCCAAGAGGGGGAAGAGGGCAAGTGTCCATGAAAATTAAAAGGAAGAAATGGCATTGGAGCTGGATATAGAAGGCTAACTAAGAGTTTTGTAGGCAGATGTGCTAGTGAGAGGAAATAGAGACATTGAAGTGTGTTCCCTGCTGAGGGACTTGTCCAGTAGTCGTGGGTCCAGGGAAGCTGATTCTGGAAACGTAGACTTAGGTCTAGTCCTAGGTGGCCTTGTTTACCACCCTAATGAGATGTTATTTTAGTGAGTTCTGGGATGGAGGATGAGGATCCTAGTAGGTGGGAAGAAAGTTTTTGTGGCTGCTCAACTGTATCTAAAGAAAAAAGAGTAAAAATGGAATCTCATTTTCCATCTGACTACACTTTTATACTTCCTGTACTTTTCCTTACTAGCATTTACTAAATTATTGTTAAAGAATTACTTTTATAATTGTTCATAGTTGGATCTTTCCTATAAGAGTGTAGTGTCTTGATAACTAAACCTGTTGCTCACCATTGTAGCTATGGTGCCCAGCACATAGTAGGTACTCAATAAATGCTTGTTGAACAAAATGAATAATAAACAGTTGTTTATTCTGAAGAAGGCTGACACAGAGGTTTCTTTTAAACACCCAGGTCAGTAATGACACTGTTAACTGATAGGGGGAAATCAGGTTTGATAGTAAAGATTATGAAGAGCCGGTGGGATATTCAGATAGCCTTGTCCAATGGAAATAGCTGGAGGTGGAGAATGACTGATGCCTCCTGCTAGAAAATACTTATAAAGAAAAAGGAATGTACCAAATAGAATTCCTCGTAGCCCAGTGTAACCAAAATGTTTGATTGTTTGCATGTCCATAAAAATAACAGTTTACATTAAGTCAGGTGTTTATGTTCTCCATAACAATAGAGAGGAATCATACCGTGTTTTGTAAACAGTGGTCCATGGTAAACGTTTACCAGCACAGGAAAGAACGATTTCCAAAGAAGCCTATAGAACAGAAGGGATAGTACTTAACTTCCCACAAGGAAAGAACAAGTAGTTTATTACCTGTCATGCACATTGAACTCCATTCCCAAATAATTTAAACAATTTGAAAATATTAGGATGACAGAAAATTATAATAGCAAGTACATATCAAGTATTTTTAAATGGGCATTTTGTTTGTGATCTTGAACTTTAATTTTTATCAATACAAAATAAAAAATTAGAATTAAAAAGTGGTGGCAGAAATTACCTCAACCTTAGAGGTAGAATTGCTTTCCTGGGGTATTTTTAACAAGCAAAGTAGAGATTGAAACTCTGGTAGTTTTGCTAATTTTGCCATCAGAAGAGATACAATTTGGGAGTCAATGCAGAAAACCCAGGAGTTTTCCTTGTAGGCAAATGGCAGTCATTGGAGGAGAGGACTGGTATCTCATTTTAGCAGAGCTGTGACATTCTTTCAGACAAAATGGATTCATCAAAATAAGAAACTCCATGTAGGAGCTCCAGTTAACTTCTAAAAGTCAGCTTCGGTTTCTTAGTCTTTATTATGGAAGACGTCTATATGACCCAGAATTCACAGCGAAGCCTAGAGGAGACAGGGTACAGGCGAGAAATTTTTTTGTCCGATACAGCTTTACCTTGAAATAACATTGAGTTTAATTACCTTCCCTTTCCCATGAAAAGGCAACTTGGCAAAAACACATAAACATTTCCCTCTAAGGAGGAAAAAAGTTTCATGACATCTAAGTTTTGGGTTGTATATTTTTGCAGTGAAAGCTACACTTTGTATTTGTTTCTCAAAGTGATTTAATATTTCACAGTTTAGTGGGCAACCAAAGAAGCATTGAAATTACATCCTTTGAATAAAGCTGGCCCGATTTCGTCCTGTCAGATGCAAACCAGAGATTTTAGTGCAAAATACAAATATAAAGCAGACATTTGTTTAAGCAAACAAGCAATTTGTTCGTGAGTATATCTGATCCTTATTTGAAAGAGATGCGGGCCTGCTCAGCCATTTACATTTGAAAACTATAAACTGTCCCATTGTCCATGAAAATGACCTTATTGGCAGCCTGGGACTTGGAACACCAGTTTCTTCTCTAAGCAGCAACAATGGATGCATTAACTGCAAGGATGTGCCTTCAGAGAGACCAAATGAAGTCTTGACATGGGAAAGATAATAGATAGATAAAGGTATTCTGTTACCTTTATCCCGCTTGTCTTCCAGGAAAGGGCTTTATTGGACATCAGATGCCTGGGTAGGGTGGGCATGATCTCTGTAGTGCCCCAAATTACCTGACATTTGTTTCAGAAACAGTTTTACCGGAATACTTCAAGTAAACACATTAGGCTTGGCGAGGGGAGGATGGAGTTGGGAATCCCAACTTGAAAATGAAGGAAGAAATGAATTCCACTGTTTGATTTCTCTTACTATAACAAAACCAGTCTCAGGGTGGTAGTTGTTTTTTGTTGTTGTTTTCTTGGGTTTTTTTTTTCTTTTTTCTCATCCTTCTCAATAGACGTTGGATAAGATATTATTTTCAGAGTTTAGTCTATCGTGAAACATTTTTTAAAATCCAGTTCAAATTTGTTGCCAGAATCAAATGCCTTTGTCAAGTCTTGGCTCATAGGAAAAAAAGTACTGCTGTAAAACAGTATTTTCTCCCAAATATACCGTGATCAACTAGACCCTGCTTTTTAATAAATGAGTTCTTAAGAAAAAAAATATCACAAATTGACCATTTCCAAAGGACAGAACACCACATGGATAATTTGCGGTTTCTGGTTTACTGTGCTGTTCCCCGTTCTACCCAAATGGCATCCAAAAGCACTCTTTTCCCGTTTGTGCAAGTAGGATAGAGTGGAATCAGGAGCATAAAGGAAGCTTTCGTGTAAAAAGTTCAAGCACTATCGTGCTGAGTTACCCCAACTTTCCATTTTTTATCATCTATTTTTGTTCATCAGGCAAGGAAAGCTGTTTTGAGAGGATAATTCAAAGGTTTGGAAGAAAAGTGGTGTACGTTGTTATAGGAGATGGTGTGGAAGAAGAACAAGGGGCAAAAAAGGTGAGTGTTCATCGATGGGGTTTTTACACCATTTAATTTTTTAGTCCTCAAACTGCTCATTCCTGGATCACTTAAACACGTTCAGTGTCTCTGAAACAAATTACAAACGTGTTCAGAACTGTAAGCAGTGAAAAAGGACAGTAGAATTAAATAAATATGATCTTTTTGAAGAGTGCCCTGTACAAACGCAAAGGTCATGGATGGTTGGTCTTCATAGAACATAGACTTTTAAGCAGAAAGGAAGGTTTAGTGCTGTAGCCGCCACCCGAGATGACGCACTTGTGGTGTCCATGTGAGCATATCCCGTTTGGCCGTGGTGGCAGACATTGCCAAGTGATTAAAATCTGCCTGAGCCTGGATCCAGCCTAAGAACCTTCCAGATATTACTTCAGAAAGCCTCTACCGGTTAGTCGGAGCTGGCTTGCCAAACCATTTGCTGTCCTAGAGTACAGTGTCTTCCTTTTATCACAAGGTGAGCACCTCACCTCCGTTGGGACACTTGGAGAAGAGGAGAGGGGTGGGTCCAACCGTGGGTCCCTCGACTCCCAGTTTGTGCATCATACGTCTTTCTATCCTTCTGCATCCCTGCAAGTGTAATTCTGCCGTTTCCCTTAGCAAAAGCTTTCTCGTTAATGTCTTTCGTTGCATTTCAAAGAGAGCAGAGGAAGAGGGGACCACATTTCTTCACTCAGGGACCACTCAGGGTCTTTAGTCTCGTACAGCCCACCTGTGCAATCTTCCTCACCCCAGCACTTGACATTGCGGCCCCTTCAGCCATGCCTAGCTCTTCCTCCGGGCTTTTGCCTCTACTTGGAATGATCTTTTCCCCAGTGCCCTACTATTGCTGGCTTAATCGTTTTTCAAAATCCAGTTCGTGTACCACCATTTCTATTCCCCTTGTTTGTAAGAGCTTAATTATAGTAGTTCTCACTCACACTGTAATTGGAAAAGCTGTTGTAAATAGCTTGGATTCTAGAGCAGACAGCCTGCCTTTGAGTTACAGCTCCACTGCTTACCAGTTTTCTGACTTTGAGAATTATGTACCCCTCCTCTTTTTCTTTCCTTTTCTATAAATGGCAGTCATAACAGCATCTAGCTCCTTTGGCTGTGTTAAGGATTAGATTTAGTTAAGACGTGAAAGCCGTAAGACAGCCTGATACGTATAAAGTGTGCAACAGAAGGTAGCGGTGTTAGTAAGTAGTTATGGATATGCCTGTTGCAGCAGTAAAATGGGAGCTCAAGAGGTAGGGATCTTATTCTGCTTAGCCTGTTGCTTGAGAATTTGTTTTCAAAACTTTTTTTACAACTCTCTACATCTTGACGCATAGTCTCTAAATATTTTTTTTTAATTGAAGAGATTTAAATTAAATTGAAGAATATATTTAATTAAGTATTTTACAAGGTTAACCAATGCAGCTGTTTCCCCTTCCTTTCCCCCACACACTCACTGATAGACATCACTACACAATTCCACAACGGATGCAACAATTCATCTCTTCTGAAGTATTCCAGTATGCAGTGGAAGCGATGCAGAAAGTCACCAGCATATAGACGCAGCATTCAGCATGACGCATGGCCAGCCTTCTTATAGAGTCTGAAGATGATTTAATTCACCTTCAGTGCCTCTGAATTCTAACAAAACCGTAGAAAGTGACCCGAATTCTGTAAATGATGGCTTATTTCAGTTATACCCATTGATGCACAGTTGTGTGCCCGGGATTACGCACCCCCTGAGTGGGATTGGTGCGGATGGAAACCCACACGCAATTCAGATCCAACAGAGGTTTGCCGAGCTGCACGTGCAATGTAACGGCTCGTTCTGACATTCCAGGTTCACCGGTGGGCAACCACCATGATGGTTACGTACATCTGTCGGCCCTTCAAGGCTGTTTTCATAAAAGGAAATTTTCCCCAGACTAAATTAGAATACCCCAAACTCAACCCTGGAGAGTTAAAGAGAGGTTTGATGGGAATCCAGACTTTAGGTCTTTTTAGCAAAGCCTCTGGAATCCCCACGCCGTTCCTAGACAGGACCTCCTCGTGGCTAGTGGGATAGTCAGGAGTGTCAAAGTGGAAAGCAGCATTTCATGGCCCCGCGGCCCAGGGCCAAAGATGTGAATCTGCACCCCGCCCCCCCCCCTCCAAGACTGGTCCTTCTTCCTCTACCAGTCACCAAAAAGTTTTAATTTTAAGAGAAGGTTGCCAAAACATGGCTTGCTAGCTTGTGGTAGACCGAAAGATGCTTGTAAAAGTGGTGACTTAGAGCACCGTGGAATCCCGTGGGTCCTAGCAAGGCTTCTTGGGGTGAGTCCCTTGCTAAACCTTTCAGAGTAGCAGGTTTCTTAGATGTTCATCACGGGTGAGCATAACGTGGAAAAAGTAAAGGAATTCTCAGTTTAATGTTACAACTGGAAGTATTACAGTAATAGGGCTAAGAGTATTTGTTCTCTCTGCAGAACAGTTAAAACTGTTTCCACTGTTTATCTTTGAACGTGTTGTTATTTTTACTTGGGACAAACACACCTGTGCCGAAAAGAATTAGGCAGCTGCCCGTGAAGAACAGGCTCTTTGAATTTTTTGACTGTGAATGAATATTCTTAGCTTCAGTTTTCTGTTTTGATTTTGTGGGATGAGTGTAATGTGGTAAGGGTCCAATACTATCTGTTGTGAACAAACTCTTGGCACCTTGAGACCCGCCAGTGTGGGAATTCTAACAAAACCGTGACCACGAGTTTCAAGACTGTTTATGTGTATTATGTACAAGGCATGGATTTTTCAGAAGGTTCAGATTCCTGATAGCCTTGCATAAAATTCAGATGTCATCAATCCTCCCCAGTGACAAATCTGACTATTCCTGTCTTATATTCTGTCTAACCTTATTCGGTTAACTAGTATTTATAGTAGTACTTTGTGGGGTGCCTGGGTGGCTCAGTTGGTTGAGCGTCCAGCTTCGGCTCAGGTCATGATCTCATGGTTTATGAGTTCGAGCCCCACGTCTGGCTCTGTGATGACAGCTTGGATCCTGGAGCCTGCTTGGATTCTGTGTCTCCCTCTCTCTCTGCCCCTCCCTCGCTTGCACTCAGTCTCTCTCTCTCAAAAATAAATAAACATGAAAAAAAATTAAAAAGAAATAAGATGGTTATCCATGCTGTAGAAAGATTAATAATCATAATGGTAAAAGAATTACTCTCAATTATAAAGCCCTTATTATGTCCCAGACTCACTCTCAGGCACTTCCTATCCATTATTTCATTAAATCCTCACCATCATTCTGTGAGGAAGGAGTCCTTAGACCCACTTTATATATGAGAAAACCAAGGTTCAGGAAAGTAAATAATCTGGCCAAGATCACAGAACTTGGGAGTAGCCAAACTAGGACCGTGAGATGTGGCCCAAAGTCCCTTTAGATTAAAAACTTTATTTACATATCTTAAATATGATTTGATTCACAAAAAAAGAATTTTCATGCTTATTTTTTAAATTATTAGAATAAAGTATGCCATGTTTGCTTTTTTTTCCCCCTTTCAGGAGGCAGATAGAACCATGTTCTCTTTCTCCCAGGTTTTCTTCAAATTTTAAGAAAAAATCAATTCTGATATAGTTTGTGAGCATTCTAGATTATTAAATAAAATAGTGAAACTCTGTGAGTTTCAGTCATAAAATGTTTTGCAAAATCAAACCATTTTGCAGTTCTTCTAGATCAATTCTGACCATTTAGCTTGTCTCTCTTAGTTTTCTAAGTCCTTTTAAAAATCCAATACAGGGGCGCCTGGGTGGCGCAGTCGGTTAAGCGTCCGACTTCAGCCAGGTCACGATCTCGTGCTCCGTGAGTTCGAGCCCCGCGTCAGGCTCTGGGCTGATGGCTCGGAGCCTGGAGCCTGTTTCCGATTCTGTGTCTCCCTCTCTGCCCCTCCCCTGCTCATGCTCTGTCTGTCTCTGTCCCAAAAATAAATAAAAAACGTTGAAAAAAAAATTAAAAAAAAAATCCAATACATCTCTCTAAATAATGTTCTTTTGCTTGAGGTAGTTCCTTTTTTCAAGCTCAGAAATGAAACCAGTAAGTATTCTGCCCGTTGCCGGTTTCCTGGTGGTCAATTGAAGTCTGAAGTCTGTTCTGTCACCTTTGTTCTCTTTGCCAATATAGTCCCAGGGCTTTCCTCAGTAATTTCATCTAATTCTATAATTCATAGCCTGAGAACACACCCCCTCAAAGAGAATACGTTAAAAATACCTTTGTTTACTTAAAGGAACAACTGTATTCCAAAAAGATCTCTTACAAGAGTTTTCTGCCAGGATCTCTTTGTTCCTAGAAAGGCTTCAGAGAACGTGAGAAGCCATCTACCTCTGGATCCCTTTTTCTGATGTGTCTTTTGTTGTCAAAATGTGCCAGGCTTTCTTTCTGTATCATAGAAATCTATGTTTCCCTAATCCAGTATACAAGAGTAGGCATACGTATGAATGAAAAAAAAAAATCAAATGTAACGGTCTTCTGCATAACGACAGCAATTTTCATTCCTAGAGTAAAAGTGGCCTTGTTTTATAACTCTACAACTAAACTCCCTTTGCTTACTTTTCTGAGAACTACTTAAAACTAATCACGTGTGAACACCAGAGAGAAAATAGCAAGCATCCATTATTGCGTAATGGCAAAGCCTTCATCAATAAATGTCTATCTAATTTATTTGTTTGTTTAGATTTTTTAAGTGTAGCTGACACGCAGTGTTACGTTAGGTTCAGATGTACAACACAGTGATTCCATAACTGTATACGTTATTCTGTGCTTCTTACGAGTGTAGCTACCATCTGTCACCGTGCAACACTAGCATGATACCATTGATTAGATTCCCTATGCTGTACCTTTGATCACCACGACTTGCTCATTCCATACTCTGCTTCATCCGTTTTGCCCATCCCCCCACCCTTGTTCCCTCTGGCAGCCACCAGTATGTTCTCTGAATTTGTGGGGCTGCTTCAGCTTTTTGTTTCTTTGTTTTATGTTG